ATATGGAACGGCTAGATGTAAACATGTTGCTAGAACATTTGATGTAAACATTCTATTTATAAGCTATAGTTTTGCTGGTGCTAAATTGAATCAACTATTTTTCTTTATTATATTTAAATAAAACGCTCTTTTCAATCCGTAAAAGTATCTTACATAAGCTAAATCTAAGATGTATATATATACAAAACTTATTTTTCGTATCACGTATTATTTGCAGCAATAAATAATGATTTACTAAAAATTTCTTACTATTGATCCAGTTATGCTCCTTACTGTACATATGTACACAGCGCGTCATTGAATCGCGGAATAAGTGCGGGATCGGAGAGCAAGCGGGGCGGCTGCTCGCCAACAAGCGCCGTACGAATCGTTCGGCCCGCTTGCCCTCCGATCCCCGCGTCTATTCCGCGATTCAGTGACGCGCTGTGTACTGTATATATCACTTTATTGATATATATCAAACGTGTCGATCTCTTTATTTAGATCTTCCTCAGTAATTAACAAAACCAAAAGAAATATAAAACTACAAAATTTAACCGATAAAACCGATACGCTGGTTGTTTTGCGGAATAAATATACCTCAATATATAATTTATATATAAATATGTATATAAATATTTTTATACATGGTGTCCGTTAATTACCGTATCATCGCTCGTAGGCAGAAAGGGTTATTCGAAAAGTGTCTGAGTGAGTCGAAAAGTCTTATACCATTTTACAAGATTTGCAATAATTAACGAGATATGAATTAATAAAGATCCGCGAATGAGCGTGCAGCCACGTGCATAATGATAGCACAATAACAGTTCAGTGTTTTACACGCTCACGCCGTAGCAACGAAATACGAGGAGTTAATATAATAACATGTGATATACATAAACTATACATAAAAATCAATAATTACCGACAACTAAACGCGAAAACATAGATCTCGTATTTAACTACATAAATTTAAAAAAAAAACTCAATTTTGAGAGACATTTGACATTAAATTTATTTATTTTGATGAAAAAAATATAAGGTCCATGCTTTCGCGTTTAGTTGTCGGTAATTATTGATTTTTATGTATAGTTTATGTATATATCACATGTTATTATACTAACTCCTCCTATTCCGTTGCTACGGCGTGAACGCGCGAAACACTAAACTGTCATTGTGCTATTATTATGCACGTGGCTGCACGCTCATTCGCGGATCTTTATTAATTCATATCTCGTTAATTATTGCGAATCTTGCAAGATGGTATAGGACTTTCGACAGAATAACCCCTTCTATCTGCCTACGACAGATGCCAAAGTAATTGTCGGACACCCTGTATATAAATATATATATAAATATATTTATTCTGCAAAATATTCAGCGTATTGGTTCTTACCGCGCGCGATTAAATTTTGTAGTTAGTTGTAAACTATGTGATTTTTAAATTTTTCATTAACTTGTTACAAAAATAAACTATTAAATAAAAAGTTGATACAATAATCTTGTACTAAATAATCTTGTACTAAAGTGAATTTGATGATTGTCACTAGTGTTTTCTTATTTCTTTGACTAAATGACGATAAATTATGCTTTGCACTTAGTGTTTACTGTTATCAATTTTGTAATTAATAGCTTACTTTTTTCTTGTTAATCACTGAAAAAGATCCAAAAACATCGAAACATTTGATATATATCAATAACGTGATACGTAATAAACAAGCAACTTATATATTAGCTCGCATTTGTCTTGATATCTGAAATTTTATTTTCACGATCTTATTTATTTATTAATTAAAATGATAAACGTGTATACATTAAATTTGTCTCTATTTACTTATTTTATTTACATTATTAGAAAAGTTACATTAGTATAAAAAAATATAGTGTTCTAATAATAAAAATTAGATGTAATAATAAAGTTAGATTAAAACTTTTAATACAAATAATAATATAGAGATTTGTTACAGAAATTGTAATCTAGAAAGGAAGCAATAAAATATATCTATCTACCTATCTATCTAATAATATAAAAAGAAAGGGAGAAGAAAAAGAGAGCATATAATACTTAATGTTATAAGTATATATATTAATTATACTAACATATTGGCAAATAATTTACAAATAATATACCAACCATTTTATGTATGAAATAGGAATTTATATACACATTTTTGTTTTACTTAAACATTTAATGTGTTGTTTTAAACGTGTTAAGAACGTACGATGTGAAGTTTGTTTAACCCATATGTACAGACTAAAATTACAAATATTTCCATACACGTTCAATTATTTCAAAATGTATTTTAAAATATATATTGCAATATCCAACAACAACAAAACAATAAAATACACAATTTTAGCCAGTGTAATCTGCAACCACGAATTAAACATCAGTTGTGGTGTGCAGACAAACTTATCACTTAATTGCGATTTTGTTTGTTATATGTCGTTACGACGTAAGTAATTCTGAATACGTCACAATTTGCAAGGATTTATCATTGTCTTTTTTCTGTTTTTAAATGCGTCATTGGAAATATAAATAATTGGCAATAAGGTCACATAATTAATTTCTGTTTTTCATGCAGGAAGAGCTTTTAATCGATGTTAATTAGATGTTCTTGACCTGTTTTTCCATTGTTTTCGGTAAACTTTGTGTCAAATTGTTTTTATCTGCGACCTAAAAATTCGAATAGACAGCAACTATTAGAACACCATGTGCCTCGGATGTGCAAATGAAATAAATCCTACTATTTGTGGAATCTGTGAAAAACAAATTTTAGTTTTATGACGTGCGTTTATACATTTGCGAAGGCGTAAAAAGAGGGTTAAAAACAGCAAAGAAAACATGTTGCTCGGACCGTAAAATCTGGAGAGAGACACGAAGCTTCATACTTCACAATCGCCGATATACATCTCCGAAGATAGCCTCAAAAGAAAGTCGCGAAACTGTGGGAAAAGAAAGTGTGAGAGAAACTACGGGTGTTGGCTTCCCTTTTACAGCTCTTTACGCTTGACCTCCGCCCGCATGCAAATTCCCGACACATTTCGTTTCGCTGTGGGCGCGTTTCTGCTGAAAAAAAAAAAACAAACAAAATGTACAATTCTCGTGTTTCCCCGCGCTCTCACGTGGGAATAAAGCCAAAAAAGATTCGCTTCAACAAATAGACATCATAAGCGAAGACAAATAAAAAGAAGATAACAAACAAGAATAGTAAAAAAAACTTATTCGCGAACAATGTAACAAACAAACAAAAAAAACAAAACAAATGGCACGAACATTGCAATCGTCAGAATTTTTTTTCTAATCTTTGCGTGTTTTTTTGGCCGAATTGTAAACAAAGAAGAAAAATGCATAGTAGGCGCTGCAAGATGCGGCAAACCTGCAAAAAGGCAACATATAGATGAAACGTATATACATACGTGTTGCAAAATAAGAACAAAATACGAAATACGAAACCAATGCGTCACAGTGTCGATCGTCAATTTTCGCATTCGCCGGCGAGATCAAATTGGTCAGAAATTTTACGAGCTTCACACGATAGCAGTGGAACAGTAAATATAATACGATAAGAAGTTCTTTGATATTTTTCGTACATTAATATTTACTGTTTCACATATGTATGCAAGACATAACTTCAAATTACCGAGAAATACACTCTTTGATGTTTAAACATAGCGCGAGCGTTGCATGATGTTGATTAACTCATATTAATAATTTCCTGTAAAAAAATATAAATACAAAGTTTATATTTGTAATATTACCACTATTATTTAATATGAAATTACATAACAAATGTATTTCGTTATTGTTATTCAGAAAATATAAATAAGTGCGTTAATTATGCTCGAGTTGAACGTTTAGTAATACTTATTAATAATAATTGCAAACTCATAAAAAATAAAAACTAAATAATTATTGCTTTCAAAATATAAAAAAAAAAACAATCACTCTTTCATAGAACGATAACGATGTTGAATATTTTATATCTGTATTTCACGCGAATCGCAAACAATCAAGATAAATCATTTTTGTTTATTGACTTTGTTTTTGTTTATTTACTTTGTGTACAATTTACATTGTGTATGATAATCAATTACATGATTATTTTTCGAGATAAGTCTTGCGTCTTGTAAGAAAGTTTTCAAGCATAATAAAAGTTTTATTGAAAAACGGCAAGAAAGAGGAATATTATCAACTTGCAATGTTTTTTGATGATTATTAGACAAATTATTTTAGAAATTAACGAAAAAGTCAAAAAATGAAAATAACAATTAATTTGCATTTTGCCGTCCATCATAGTTCCAACAAATAGAACACGCATCTTTTTATGTTAAGTAAAATTGAAAAAATATCTTGACACAATTTTTTTAATATAATAATATATGAGAGATTTTCGTGCGTTGTGCAATTAAAGTGTTTAACATTCAAAATCTAAAAAAACTGCTACCCGTAAAAGCGCCCTAAATCTGTGAAAGCCAAATCAGCCATTTCTACACAAGATGCACGCATATATAATATATATAATATCTATATATGAATTATATAGATGTATATATACACGTATATAAAGTGCACAGCCCCACAACGCGTCTCTTAAGAATGCAAGGATTCCATAAGAAATAAAGCGCAGTGGATGAAGATGATCTTTCCTAGCTAAAAGCGAGTGCTTACTAAGCCAATCCTAGAATCAATCGCTCTTAAAAGCACTATCAAGTTGAAAAAATCAGAAGGATTGCTTAGGAATTGTGCAGAGGATTGTTGGGATGTGTTCTTTGTGTCATGGCTGAGAACGCAGAAGCGCGGTTTGCTCATATACATAATTTAT